GTGAGTGGGTGAGAAGTGATGGGAGGTTTTATTTTCGGAGTGCGGGTAAGGCATTTATCGTAAGTGTAGCTTAGAAGCCGCGCAGACAGAGAGAAAGAGAAAAAATTGGAGAGAGATTTGACGCTCAGTAATAGACAGCGCGTGCTAGTACATTTGGACACATGGGCGCGCGCACACACACGCACACACAGGCACACACACACGCACACACACACACATACACACACACACACACACACACACACACACACACACACACACACACACACACACACACACACACACACACACACACACACACACACACGACGCGCGCGACACACACACACACACACACACACACACACACACACACACACACACACACACACACACACACACACACACACACACACATACACACGTACACGCGCACCGAGACGCGCAAATACGTACATACGCACGCATGAATGAACGAACGCACGCGCCTACCTCGCAATTCTCGAATATAATTCCTTCCAACCGTCACGGCCGCTGTCGCTCTTGGTTCTTGCCCTTTACAACGAAGTGGCAGCCTGCCTTTTCAAACACGCTAGCGATTTGTCAGTTAGCAGGTTGCTTTCCTTAGCTTACGCAGCGTGTACATAGGAGTTGCTTTACTGCCATGCATTCTATAACATTAACAGGTCCGGCACTCTCGCCTTGACATTAGCACTGTAGTAACAGTGTGTACTGCAAATGCGAAATTTAAAACGTAAAATAAAAAGATGTAAAAAAAAAGATAAAAAAGATATATAAGATATATAAGATAAGATATATATAAGATATATAAGATGTATAAAAAGATGTAATAAATGTTCAGCAGCGAGAGCGAAGGAGAGTAGGCAGTTGCTCAAAGAATGGTGCGTTTTCACCTTGGACTGATCTCTGGTGGAGAAATTCTAATGGGGCGTTTATTTTTGTATTTACTAAAATAGAAGCAGTTCTAAGCTGTATCTACGCAAAGAAAAATTACCAGGTGTTATGTATCTACACAGGTCAAACCCCGGGATTTAGCAACTAGTGCTTGAATAACATCATGGTTTTTTTAAAGTAACACGCGACTATAGACATTTTTGGTTTGAATTTTACATTATGATTTCATTACAAAATCTTATGAGCAATCGCTAAATCTCCCATTGCTTGGATCTATGCCCTGCCAGCTGAATTTGCCGCCTTATTGCCTTATCTCCAAGGATGCTAATGGTTATATATAATTATATATATACATATATTTATTTATTTATTTATTCATATATAATATTTATGTTTATGTACCTTGCGTTTGATATTATACAAGGCGCTTTTGACTTGTCATGAAACAGCCATGCCATTGTGTACGATTATGATAAAAACTCGCAATTAAAATAAAATTGAGTAGGCGCTCTGCAGATAATCCTGGTAACTAACAATATACAGTGTGTTGTATGTTTAGGCATTTGACAATACACTGTGTATTGTTAGCGAGCTTTCAACAATACACTGTGTATTGTTGAACACCTTCTAACAATACACTGTGTATTGTAGTAGGTACCTATGAGCTTTCAACAATACACTGTGTATTGTTGAACACCTTCTAACAATACACTGTGTATTGTAGTAGGTACCTATGAGCTTTCAACAATATACGTTTTATTGTCGAACACCTTTTTACAATACACTTCTTTTTTTCTTTTCTTTTTTTAATTAGTTTACTTTTTGATTTGTAAACTTGAAATTGACATTTATTTAAATGAATTTATTAAAATTATTTAATTGATTTTATTAAATTTATTGAAAATGAAATTGAATTTAAATACACAGTTGTTAGGTACTTACTACACTACACAGTGTATTGTTAGAAGGTGTTCAACAATACACACTGTATTGTTGAAAGTGTATTGTTAGTTACCAGGATTATCTGCGCTATGAGATCGTAGAATTGGCATCTTGCGCTCCTCCTGTTCGCATTACGTACGTAAGCGCACAGGCAAAACCCGAACGATGAGTAAATAAAATTACTCGGCTCGGAGTCTTCAACATAACCTTTATATTCTTGTTGATTTATTATGCGACAGCGGCCGAGACGGTCGGAATTGCGAGGTAAGCCCCCACCCCCCCCGGCGTGGCGTTCGTGCTTCGCGGGGGTGTTCCTTCATTCATCGTGCGTGCGTATGTGCGCGCCGCGCGCGGCGCGTGTGTGTGTAGTGTTGTGTGGTGTGTGTGGTGTATGTGTGTGGCTGTCGTGTCCGTGGTGGTGTGTGCGTGTGTGTGTGTGTGTGTGTGCGTGCGTGCGCATGTGCGTTGTGGTGTGTGTGTGCGGTGCGTGTGTGTGCGGTGCTGTGCGTGCGTGCGTGTGTGTCGGTGTGTCGCCGTAAAAACCACTACACTCATTAGCAGTGCATGCATGCGCATCCTAGTGGGCATGCATAACATCCCATTGCCCATACATACATACACTGGCATGCATACATACATACATACATACATTCAATACATACATAACATACAGTACAGTACATACATACAGTGTACATAGCATACATACATACATACATACACTGGACTACAATACATTACATACATACATACATACCTACAGTACATACATACTCCATACAGTACATACCTACAGTACATACATAGCATCACATAGCATACCATACATACTAGCAGTACATACATACGATAGCATAGGCATGGACCCAAGTACAATAGCACTACATACATACATACATCACAGTACATACATAGCATCACAGGTGACATACAGTAACATACATACATACATAATACATACATAGCATCACATACATAACATAACATAACCATACTATGACATACAAGTATAACATACGTACGTGACGTACGTACGGATAACGTCGTACGTACGTACGTACTAGACGATACGTACATTACCAATACATACATAACATACGAATACATACATATTATGATAGCATTAACATACGAACCCACAACAACACACACACACACACACACACACACACACACACACACACACACACACACACCACAACGTACTTTCTCTCTCACCCCAGAGACAGGTTTCTTCTCTCTATTTAAAATAACGTAGCTTCTCCACTTCCCCGAAAAACAAGACTGTACTTCTCCGTTTAGAGACAATTAACGTGGCTTCTCTCATTTCCCCGAAAGCCAAGACTTTACTTCTTTATTCAACATAGCTTTTCTCCTTCCCCGAGAGACAGTGCGGCTTTGATCCGTGGACTCTACCTAATATTATATTACCGGAATACAACGACATCATTAAATGCGAAGCCGTGTACTACTCAAATTCCGGTGATACACATGTAATACGAACAGTCATATGGCATATGGTTCGACATGCAGTATTGCCGATTGCCGTCCGGCATGTGTGATGTTTATTTTCAACGGTCTTTCTGCGCGACACGAATCACGTTAATGCACGGTGCGCTGCCTTCCCCCAGTAACCCAGATAACCCAAATACGGATGTACGCGTGTGACTTACAACGGCTACGAATTAACTAGTATTTTCATGCAAACACTTTCGACCGACCGCTCATCAATGCTCTCATTATGTGCCAGTGTGTGTTGCAGGCGACACACATATGTTCCAGACAGTGCATGTGGCGTGCATCTCGCTCCACGCACGGAAAACTACAGGTAAAACTACAGGTAAAACTACAGGCAAACCACCGCCACTAGCCAAGCGGGTTTGCCCTTATTACGGCGAGCGTTCGGGCGCGTGCTGCGCTCGGGAAATTGTTTTGTCGGTTGTAGGAATGTGTGTGAGAAATATTGCGTAACGCGAGCAGGAGAGCGTTGAAACCCAAATATTTACTCATGTGTATGTTCGCACATCGCAACTGTTAGCTTCGCGATTGCTGCCCTTGCAGGTATATCGTGCAGTTCGGAGTAGGCCTACATGCGCAGGTAGTTAATGATTACCAGTTGTTACTATATATATTATATATATACATATATATATATATATATATATATATATATATATATATATATATATATATGATACATTACGGCGCGACGTTTATACCACAGCGTAAGAGTGAAACGCGTTGTTGCTGTCGGGTTGCGGCGGTATTTCGTAGCAGCTGCCCAATCGGTTGGTTGGTAGAAGATGCCGTGCCACCTTTAAGGCTGGAGAGGTCTGACTACTCAACTCATGTACGTGCACAAGTCACATTTACATCAGCGACGTGCCATGATATGAATCTATTATTGTATTTCAGCGGTTATTCGTGTGAAAATATCTATATGAGAGTGTTCAGCGAAATGTGAAGATTTAATTAAACGAACGTGAAAGCGAGACGGAATGAGACGACTAGGTAAGCTATTAAAGAAGTGCTATTCAATCATAAGCGCATAATATACGCATAATTTCGCATGAATATTTTAAATATCACTTATTAATTTGAAATCGTGTTTGAAAATACCATTATATAAAAAAATTAAATGATGAAATGCGCACAAATTAGTAGTCGTCGCTTGGGATTCAATTATTACAAAGCTACATTAGCTAATGTGAATTCGGACACAATCAGAAATGTCTCTGGTGGCGCACCAAGAGTTATTATTTGTATTGTTATTCGATCTGTTTTCATTTATGGCCTGCCGAAACAGCGACACACTAACACTATCAGCAGGAAATGCTACATTTCATAGCGGTGCTTTTTCTTAACCCTGGGATATTAATGTAATGGCCCTAGGGGTGGCCACAACTGGATTTAAAGGTTTTAATTTAACACGTGTCATTTATTTGTTTCTGGATCATTTTACTTGATGCAAATTATAATTGATTTTTAATGATTGATTGATTTGTATAAGTATATCAATATATTAACCACTGCATGGAATACATGAACCTGTTCTTGAATGTTGGAATCATTCAATATATCGTAAACCGTCCGCAAACGTAAATAACGAATTTACGGATAAGTTTCCTTATAAGGGGATTATAGGCCACATACAGAACTCGTTAGGGGAGTAACTTTTCATTTCAGAACTCGTTATCTCTCTAATATATATAGATTAGTGTATTACTAGTGTAGATGTATTACTAGTTAGATGTATTACTAGTGTATTATTAGTGTATGTAGATTACACTATAACTATATATTAGTGTAAGCGTGCAACAGTCGCGCCGCGAAAGCAATGACGCCGGCAGCGTATGGTTGGACGTAGGATTTGGACGGAATTTACAGGAAACTGTCGCCAATAATAGGTGAAAGAGAGTATAGAAACATTAAGAATTTGGTAGTAAATAGATTTCGTATTTAGTTAGCATCATATTTTAATGAAACGCTTCAAGTGCCTGTGCACACACACACTTGCTCGCAAGCGCGAACTCGCAAGCACGAATGATACACACACACGCACGTGACCCCCCCCCCCACATACACACACATACACACACGTACACCTGCTCGAAAGCGAGAACACACGCACACACACACATGCCCACGCGTGTATACTACGCATTGATACTAATTTGATAATTTGATTGCGCAGGACGTAGTATAGGGCCTGTCGCAAAGCAGTGCCGACAGCTACGAAATTTTGGACGATCATTTTGTTAATAATGAGCCATATATATATATATATATATATATATATATAATAATATACATATATATATATATCAGAAGTATAGATAATAGGTAATTATTATAACTTCTCTGTCGATACTATGAATGTAAAGAATGTGACAGCTATAGTTCTATATCAGGAAACTGAGAGCCACTCCATTACTATGGACACGCGAGTAGATGCAGGTCTAGCGACGATCGGATAATGTCGATCGTAGGGTGAATATCGTAGCTCTCACGTAGTCATAATTATCACCTCGCCATCCATGACGTCGAGATAACCATGCATGGACGTCCACTAGCTCGGCTCGTGGGATTAGATGATCCGCATGGAGATCGTGAAAGAATCCCCTATTTAGGCCATAAGCCAGACCCAATAATTTTAGCCATCGCTACCATCCGAGGGAAATATAATGCTCATCGGGGCTCGCTATATCTAATAATTGAATATGTAAACAGCATCCTCGAGTAAAACTGCATGCTAACCTTAGATAAAATATTTTTTTATATGAAAAAGATCGGTTTCCTTCAACATATTGATATTACGCCCACTACCCGGATGTGCCACCTAAATAATAACATACCCGTCGTTCTGCGCCTGTCATGTAATTGTGTAGTGTTGCGTTGGCTTTATATATATATATATATCAACTTCGCGTTTGTTATGCTTGAAATCCTATCCTCATGTATGTATTTACGTATGTGAACGTTTTTGTGGGTGGTTGGCTATATACACCGAAGGTTACACGATATGCATTTATTGCAGGCTCGCGAGGCGATTGCTGATCTACCATAGCTGCTGGCGCCATGTTTTCCTTTTCGTCAGTTGGCAAGCACACCGGCCTAGATCGTGGTGGCGTATTATGTGATCATGCATGCCCCTGAATTATAGACTGATGCGCCTTGCTGGTCACAGCGCGTGTCATTATCGTGCCAACAATGCGGATCGCCCAGACGCTATACCGGACGCTATACGCGATGCTATCGCGCGCTAGCAGGAAATGCTATTGCGAAGAGTTCACTCGCACTTTCGTGGACAATTACAGCGTTCGCTATGCAGTGATTACGGCACAGCCACGCCGCGTGGCATATATCGTCCGCATCTAAATCAGATACCTGCGAACACTCGATATCGCATCGGGCAATACCTCACAAGGGTAGTAGATATATACACGTGCGTCATTAAAGCCGCACAATGCGCATCCAAACGCTAATTTCTCCAGTACTAGACTAGCAAATACTTCGTGTCATGCATAATCACACTACCTTATGACAAAATAAACTCTAGTTCCTCCCATTTCACTGCGCGTTGTCTTATAAAAGGTATTTGAAAATACCTCCAATGTTGTTAAAATTATCCGATGTTGTTGACAGTTTCCCCAAGCAACCGTGCAGCGGTGTTGCGGTACAGCAGTACGGGTGTAGCAAAGATAATAACATGCGACGTCACCTCACCACTTCGAGGCTAAATTGTTTGGCAAACAGTCGGCGTTTGCGCCAGAATGCCAGTTTTCTCACCTCTTTCTTGTGGGTTTTAAGCAAACGCGCAGTGAAATGGGAGCAACTAGAGTTTATTTTGTCATAAGGTAGTGTGATTATGCATGACACGAAGTATTTGCTAGTCTAGTACTGGAGAAATTAACGTTTGGATGCGCATTGTGCGGCTTTAAGGGGATAATCACCATAAGCACCTCGGTGCGAAAGCGTCGCGACTTTAATCCGCTTATCGTGCAATGTTCGCAAAGCCGACATTGCCAATGTTGACATTGCATCATTTCTCGCAGTTATACTCACACGGTCAGAGAACTCTTAAACCAGAACCGGGCTCAACAAGCCTGCTTATTACGTGTTTTTGCTGCATGGTCGTGTGATCTAAAGTTATAGTCGCGAAAACTTGCTTTCTGCACATTATGCTATAGTTGTTTGTGGAGGTTATCGTTGTTCAGATGTTTATTGCTTGATCTGATATGCTATGTTAATTAATATTAATTGCTTTTGTTCACAGGGCGTAAAGTACATTTATGTGTATATAATTACAGACGACGTATGAGTAACTGGAAACGCGTGTGCTTCTATTTGCGCATATGTTCGCTGAGGTTCACCTTTGTAAATCTTCTCACCGCAACAACTTCGATGCTAGGGCAGTGCGAATGGCTTATTCTTAAGTGCTGTGCACAGTTGATGCATGTTTTTGCGCGTAGATCAGTGCATACAAAGGTATGTTTCTACCGCCATAGCCACGACTATTACTACGGCGCCCAATACGGCTAGAGTATGTATACACGCACGCACACGTTCACAAATATATTTATGCGCACACGAACGCCAGGCACGCACGCTACACTAGTGACACACAATCACACGCATGCACCCGTATAGACACGTGCGTATAAGTCTATCCACCAGTACGCAAAATGTATATAATTGCGATTCAGTAGGCGCAATGTGTGTATCTGTCTGTATGGGTAGTGACGATTTCACACAATCGAATTCTCTTAATTACAGCCAAGTTTGGTTTTAGGATGACTTGGTTTTCAATGCAACGAGCGCGATACCAAGTACAAGTACTGCGTGCGTGCATGCGTGCGTGCGTGTGTATGTCCGTATGTATGTGTATATGTGTATGTATGTATATGTGTATGTATGTCTGTATGCCTGTCTGTCTGGCTTTCTGCCTGCCTGCATGCCTGCATGCCTGCATGCCTGGCTGGCTGGCTGGCTGCCTGCCTACCTACCTACCTGTCTATATGTATATGTGTGTGTGGGGGGGGGGTATGCGCACGCATGTGTGTATCTATAATATCAAGAGTACATAATAGACGATTCTATTACGGAATACGCCTTTAATACGCCATTTCTATTCTGGACTCTTGATAATATATATATATATATCAGGGCGTGCGTACGTGTGCGTGTGTGAGTGTGTGCGTGTGCGTGCGTGTGTGCGTGTGCGTGCGTGTGTGCGTGCGTGTACCAGGGCGTGCTTACGTGTGCTATAGTTATGTGTGAATAGCGCTATTCATGTTTATATGGATTATGGAA